CAGCTAATTAAGCCATAACACCTGCAAAGGGTTCCTGAGCCTTTAAATGGTCTCTCAGTCTGGTTCAGTAGGAATCACAATCATGGGAAAGACTGCTGACCTTACAGTTGTGCAGAAAACCATCATCGACACCGTCCATAAGGAGGGAAATCCTCAAAAGCTAATTGCAAAAGAAGTTGGATGTTCCCAAAGTGCTGTATCAAAGCACATTAATAGAAAGTTATGTGGAAGGGAAAAGTGTGGAAGAAAAAAGGTGCACAAGCAGCAGGGATGACCGCAGCCTGGAAAGGATTGTCAGGAAAAGGCTATTCAAAAGTGTTGGGGACTTTCACAAGGAGTGGACTGAGGCTGGAGTCAGTGCATCAAGAGCCACCACACACAGACGGATCCTGGACATGGGCTTCAAATGTCGTATTCCTCTTGTCAAGCCACTCCTGAACAACAAACAACGTCAGAAGCGTCTTACCTGGGCTAAAGAAAAACAGACCTGGTCTGTTGCTCAGTGGTCCAAAGTCCTCTTTTCTGATGAGAGCAAATTTTGCATCTCATTTGGAAACCAAGGACCCAGAGTATGGAGGAAGAATGGAGAGGCACACACTGCAAGATGCTTGAAGTCCAGTGTGAAGTTTCCACAGTCTGTGTTGATTTGGGGAGCCATGTCATCTGCTGGTGTTGGTCCACTGTGCTTCATTAAGTCCAGGGTCAACGCAGCCGTCTACCAGGAGATTTTGGAGCACTTCATGCTTCCTTACGCAGACGAGCTCTATGGGGATGCTGACTTCATTTTCCAGCAGGACTTGGCACCTGCCCACACTGCCAAAAGCACCAAAACCTGGTTCAATGACCGTGGGGTTACTGTGCTTGATTGACCAGCAAACTCGCCTGACCTGAACCCCATAGAGAATCTATGGGGCATTGCCAAGAAAAAGATTAAAAAGAAATACACATTTATACATACAGCAACATCTCAACGATATGCATAAAAGCACAATTAAACAAGTCATATGGAAGTATGGAACATAAAAATGTGTTATATATACACACACACACACACACACACACACACACACACACATGCCTGAGGCAAATGTACTCAAAGAATACTGAAAGCATCTACAAAGAGTATTTGACATGGTTTTGCCATATAAGAAGACATTTTCAAATTAATAAATTATATCAGAACACAACATAGCCTTCTGTTGTTTTACGTAACATGTCACTACAACTCAGTGGCCTCCCTCTGTGAGTAATGTTAAAGAATGAAAAAAAAATAAGGTTTTCATTAACCTATGTGTCAGAATCTTAGGCTGGTTCTTAAATATATTTGCAACTGTTCAAAGCACAAGTAATCAGAAACAAAAACCAATTACCCTAAATATACTAAGAAATAAAAGTAGATCTCTGAATAAAAGAGTTCCCTACTTTCAATTAAAAAAAAATGATTGAAACCAGGGTGTATATCTAGGAACATTTCTCTGCAAACATGCAGATTTTCCTTGCCAAAATGCTGCAAGCACAGAAACATACTTGTTGATCTGCCAAAATTAAAATTAACTCTAATATCCTGTAGTTAGCTGACAACATTACCTGCTGCACTCTGATCCTTAGCAGCATTCTTAGCTGTGCCCAACTTCTTCCCTGTTGGGCTGCAAAACCCTCCCCCCTCATCTCCATACCATATTGTATAGGGATTTGGTAGTCCAGCAGGGGAGAACTCAGGCAGGGCTAACATTGCCCCTTACCCTGTTTACACCACCCCCATTAGGAGACAGAAGTTCAGGGAGACATAAATCCACTGCTGCATGTCACTGATATTGCACGTCAAAGAATGTTAAAACATCAGATCTTTGCTTGATTCCAGAATCGTTTTCACTCCCTTATAATAGACCTGAACTAGAAGCTCTGCACAAAAAATAGACAAGCAAAAGGTGCAAACTAGTCACAGTATTGCCTCTAGACATCCTGCAGCTGATCCTTTCCCCTTCCTAGCCTTGCCATGCCTTGTTCTGCACTGTTCCCCTGAATGGAGGTGGTCATATTGGTAGAAGCAGGGTTTTGCTTCCTCATGGCAGAAGATGTTTGATGACTGATGATGATCAAGAATGAGCAGGAGAGATAGAGGAATCACAATCAGGGAGATCATGGTCATCTCCTTCTCACTGGTTCCCCTCCATATTCAGGATACAAGATGCTGGCATCTAAAATATTCCCCACCTTTTTGCTTTAAGGCACTTTATGCAAGTGGCAGATCATTTTGGATGCTAGCACCTTGAACTCTTACTCTAAAGAGCAGAGCAGAGGGATGACCTCATCAGTTTGCTGCTTCTCCTCCAATGTCTAAATCAGCATGCTGGAGTGTGTTTGGGTCCTGATGCTGTGCTGAAACTGCAGTGACATTCCCAAACTCAGCTATGTTGTCTACTATGCAAGTAACAAATAGCCTTACATGCATTTCATCTCTGTACTTAGCTGTTTGCCAGAAGTTCAGCTGGTATACCAAGTGTCCTGGAATCACACATAGTAACACATGTGCCAAATATATATTGGTGATACAAATATGCTTATGTACTTGTTATTTGTATTAACAATGAGTGTGCTGTTATTTGCATTAACAATGAGTGTGCTGTTATTTGTATTAACAATGAGTGTGCTGAAATTCTAGCACCAAAACTCGACAGGAGATAAAAGTTTTTAAAGTTAGAATTGTTGGAATCCTCAAGTATACATTTCACACATGTGTTTTCAGAACTGCACCAATCATATGGCAATACATCCTTGCGTGGCCACACAAACATTTAAGAAGGCTAGCAACAAGGAAAGGGACATTGATAAACTAGGTTGGGAAATTTTAGGCAATGTCCAGTTGTTCTCTGCTAATTAATTAGTGATGCATATACAGTATTTCTATATGCAGCATTACACAGTGGATCCCCACTACATGAAAATGATTATCAACAGTTTCATACCTTCCATCTTCTAAATATTTTACAAATACAGCCCACATATAGTTTATTAATTAAAATAACATATTAAAAGATAAATATTTGAGCTTTCATTTTGATTTGCATGTACAGATACAAACTTCAAGAATAACATTGTCATCCTTGCTTCACTGCCTAATGAGCCACCGACCCTGAACAAGTATACAGCAAGTGAAGTAAGACCCCATAACAACTTCCACACAAGTAATTTATTAGGTAGTGAAGCAAATATGATCACATACCTGGACCTGCCATAATGTAGATAGCAGCTTAATAGTTTTGTCTCAGTAGGTTTCCTTTAATGTCTTCCCATGCACCTTACAATGGCCCTTTCCTTTGTTAATGTGATAGCCCTGGGCCGATCACATAATAGAGGAAAGCTGCTGTCGTCTGAAGGGAGTTGAAGCCTACCTAAACCAAAAAACAAAAATGTAATTGATTGCCGCTAACCAGTCAGTTGATGAGGCTGGTGCATCAGTTTCCTTTTTACAGGCTTCTATCCTCTTTTTTCACCTGGTAATCCTGCTTACGCCCTTTTCCACTGTATCTATGAAGGTAGCCATGGTTGCCACCCAGGCTGGACTTCAAATTTAGTTTTTGGGTCGAGTCACACTTTAATGGACCCTTTTTTATGGTTAATTTTAAGTACGGCAAGTGCGATGACAAGCATAGTTCAAATAACTGTGCTTCAAAATCTGGCCAATGAACCTGGCCAGGCAGTGTTATAGTCGGGGGAAAATTCCACTTGGCTGGAATAGTTATTTTGCATACCTATTCAATTAATAATGTTCGGACTACTCTGTAAGGGCATGCGAAGGAGACTTTTCATAGCTATAGCATTGTATTAATACAAGGAATTTGAGGAATCCTGTTTTTTTGTATTTATTGTTCACCATGGTAGTGCAGAAAGCATTCATTATTTACTAAAACAAATTCAAGGTTTCCATTCAAGTAAAATAAGAATATCTGTTATAAAGTAATAAAATACAATAAAAAATACAATAAATAGGAAGTTTTACAATGAAAAGCTCTCTGCACGCATGCAGGACTCCATGCCTAAATTTGAGAAAATCTAGGGTTACTCACTTCCTCCCTCCATCCTTTGATCGACAGCTTTTACGATGATACGTTTTATGATACGTTTTTTTCCAAATGTACCTACATAATATTTGGACCTCAACACGGAATCCTGTAGGAAGCGCTCTTCTTTCCCCCTCCCCTCTGCTCTTTCCCCTACCAACTGTTTCTCCTTCTATGCTCAGTTTTCCTAGACCCACCTTAAGATCCTCTGGATCTATTTGTTTCACTAAGTTCTTCGGACGGATGCCTAGAGATGTTATATGTATCTGCCATCTTGCCATATCTACCGTTCGGTTCCCACGGTGTCTGTCCCAAGACTGTCAGTTCAGTTTTGCTATACTATTGTATGTACATGCATAAGACATTAATGTATGTATATGTATATGTAAACGCTTATGTACCAATGTTACATCTTTTTTTTTCTTTGAAAAAAATGTCAAAAACCAATAAAATACTTTGAGAAGTACAAAAAAAATACAATAAATAAAACTGCACAAGCTATACAGTATATGGAAATTTCATATTCAAAAAAAGCCATCTAGAAAATAAAGGTCCATCAAAAAATAGATAATGGGACAAAGATATCATGTCACAATTAAATATTGTTTTTGGTGATTCCAACATGTATTGGGGTGATAACACTGGAGCAGGTCACAACCAGAAAACAGGAAGGACCAGACACTTAGGAAGGACACTTGCTTATCTAGATTGTTCCACATTAGTTTTCTGCTGTATTTTTTGGAAGCCTTATAATTTAAAAAGAAAGGTAACCCAAAGTCTGACAGGTAAATGGTAAAACAGAATAGCATCTGTACGTTTTTTGGCACTTTTAGCCTAGCCAGGTACAATGAAAGAGAGACCACTTTCTTCCCTTCAGAATTATGCATATCATGTAATTTCACAGAGCTTAATAACCTCACAATAAAATTGTCACTGTACCTGGCATTAAGGAAGCAGTTGGGAAAAGCTTTTCCTGCTTAATTTGGCTTTCATTCAGTAATTCTTCAGCAGTAATAGGAAGGTCGAGAACATCACGGATAATTTGAGCTGCCGGCAATGCCTTTTCCCCCATGACTAAGGATTTTACGTCCCATGTGTATTTTTTTCCAAATCGGTCACAGATTTCTTGGTATACCACTGTGTAAAGGCGCTCCGTGTCTGTGGAAGAAGGCATGAAAAAGCATTACGATGGATTACATGTATTGTTACATTTTGATACTAAGGGAGTTTGCATATATTCAAAATAAAATGGAAATACGAAGAAAGACCAAGTGACAGTTCAATTTTTCAGACTTCACAGATGTTATTTGTGACCTTGAAAATAATTTCTTTAAACAGTAATTAGTGTGTGTCTATTAAAAAAGGTTTCCTATAGCTTAAGTTTAATATTACAGTTATACAGTGCAATAATTACTCAATGTACACAGATTTATTTTTTTATACTTCATATTATAATTATACCTTGCTACAGTTAATTAAAAGGTGGATTAATTTAAATATGAATACTTAATATAGTTCACTTTGCAACTCATTAGGAAACATACTAGTTTTACTAGCACACACCTGCCATGATAACATTATATCATAATAATAATAATATTATTATTATCATTATTCTTTTTTTCAAGGCATGCTCGATATTAGTATATAAATTTTAAAACTACATTGTTGCATTTTCACTCTGCTCTATAGCTGGATGGCAAAGTACTCATGTTCTGTAGCCTTTGACACAGTGCAGCATCATGACGTTATGCAATGGGGTTGATTTACAGACTTGACTTTGTAAGGGGATTTTACCTTAGCTTAGTGAATTAGGTGAAGCTCTGCTGACTTCCATCATCCAATCATTTGCAAGCAACAATATTGTTTTTTTCCTTTAACATAACTGGGTATTCTTTGAAAAGCAAACTTTTACCACATTCACTGAGCCAGCATTTCTCAACCTTTTTTAATCATGGCATTCCAGTCTAAAATGTAACAAAAAAAAACTAATAAATGTTGGGTTCTTCCTTTTCTTCCTTTCACGTAGAAGTCCTCTCTTCAAATCAGGAGCCACCCTTCACATCAGAATCCTTCTTTACATCAGGACCCCCTTCCTAGGAGTCCTTCCCACAAGCCTCCCTTCACATCACAAGCTCCTTTTCATATCAGAAGCCCCCTTTCATATGAGGGTGCACCCCATCATCAGGAGCCACAGCTGCAGCAGCAGGGTAGAAGGTGGTAGGTGGAACAGACTTGAATGGGGACAAACATCTGTCTTTTTATGAATGCATCTCACATGCATTAGCGTAATTTGTTTCTGCAGTGCTGTTGGCCAACCCACTTTCATCATGGAAAGGCATGATGCTCTATGAAAATTTCTAGGCACCTAATGGAAAAATCCCTTGCAAATTTGAAACCCCTTGCAAAATTAACAGCCTATTTGCCTTTAGTATAGCTACCCCAGTGAACCTAATTTATAGCGTGCCCTTGATATTTAAATTCGTGTGTTAAGTAAGAATTTAACTAGCTCCTCTTTTATGGGCAGTTTGTGCTCATGGTAGTATAGCACATGTTGATTTTATAGGGGGAAAAAACAAAACACTTTTTTTAATAGCATAATAGACAGTTTTGTATAAAGGGTCCAACTGGATACACTGAAAAATCACTATGTATATGTCTTTTTAATGTAATTGTTGTCATTTAGATATAAGCCAACTATTTTATTCTAATTACAATTTCATTACATGTATGACTCTCAAACACTTCTAGTGTGATGCCAACCAGCCTGAGTATTGCTTCTGTTTTACAAAATAGATACATGTTAACACATAGCAGTCTGTTCACAAAGCTGCTGAAGGATCTAGCTGTAGCTTCGGCTGATCCTTTGGCTAGAATCGAAGGGCTGCTGCACGGGCTATTCTCTATAGCCCGTACAGCTCCCAAAGTTGGCCGAGTGGCTCAGTCAAGCCGAAGGCATATGCTTCGGCTCGACTGAGACGAGGTAAAAGCCGAGACTGGCCGCACTGCCGGCCATTGGCCAGCCAACAGCCTGCTACTGACAGCTGGGCTCACATCATCTCACGGCTGGCTCAAGCCACTTGCATGCAGAGACAGATCAGCATCCTCTGGTTACCAGGTAACCAGGGACGCTGATCTGTCAGTACACTGAGAACCTGGCGGTGCCGCCGTGATATCACGGCGGCTCCGCCGAGTTCTCAGTGTGTAATGACAGTTTAGTGTCCCCTGGTTGCCTAGTGACCAGGAGACGCTGAACTGTCATGAGAGCTTTCGGAGCCGGCGGTGATATTAAAGCCGGCTCTGCTAAGCTCTCATCATAATGATAGAACAGCGTCCCTGGTTACCCAGTAACCAAGGACGCTGTTCTGTCATTACAATGAGTGCTTAGTGGAGCCGGCTTTGATATCACCGACGGCTGCAACAAGCTCTCATTGTAATGACAGCTGGTCCCGGCCAATAGAAAACAATTGGGCGGAGATAGCTGTCACTGCTAGCTCCGCTCAATCGTTTTCTACTTTTTTGTAGTTTTTCTATTACGCTTGGTACCACAGAGGTACCGAGCAGAATAGCCGAGCCGAATGCCAAGACCTACCCCGAAAATAAGACCTAGTTGTGACCATTCCCAGGGCCGGTGGTGGCATAAGGGGGAACTTGAAGAGCCGCAGGAGAGAATCAGCGGTGCCAATAAAGACAGTGCTAGAGGAAGCGAGGCGGCAGCGGAGGGAGCATAAGCCAATGCCTCCTCTATAGCGCCGGCTCCTGTGACAGGCGGAGTGATATCAAATGCACTCCGCCTGTGAAGAATCGATAGTGAAAGCGCGCTAATTCTGGCCAGTGATTGGTTAGCAAATTGCTCTTGGAAAGCTACGGCACCCCTGATTGCCCTGATCACCCTGATCACCATACTTTTGTACATGAATACACATAGACTGTTGTACATGAAACTGTGTGGATTGTTGTACATAAAAAAATAAAAATAAATAAGACCTACCCCGAAAATAAGACCTAGTGTGTTTTTTGAGCCAAAAAAAAAATATAAGACAGTGTCTTATTTTCGGGGAAACACGATATCTATACCCCCCAACAGCAGTCTTATATGTACAAATTATTTAGCACACTTTAATGGGGGAAAAACGCAGCCCCAAAAGCCCACAGGACATATATCACAATACTGCTTCAAATCAGCACAAATTTAACAGACCTAGCTCTGATAGCTTCAAGATTGATAGCCTAACTGAAAGAAAAAAAAGTGTACACTTGGCAGTACCAGGTGGTGTTCTCAGCAAGTGAGAGTTAAAGATAAATTGAAGGCATATGGCTTAAGCTGTTGCTGTCCTACAGTCTAATTTATTACTGATGCAGTGGGAACTAAGAGACAAATAAAAGGAATAGACAACGATCTGAGGGCAATGTGTTCCTCGTACATTTTTAAGATCAAGCCAGAATAATAAACTGCCTCTGGTACAACAATATAAACAGGCAAACAAAACCACAGAGCATCAAATTGGAAGCCAAATCGTTTATACGGGTTACCACCATCTGATAAGACCTATTACTCAGACAATTTATGCTAATGTACATGGGTACCATTCTTAGACTGCAATTTATCAAGCTCAAATTCCCTGCATTGGATAAGAATCCAGTGATGCAGCCAGTTCTTGCTAATGTGTGATTGATGGGATTAACACTCTGTGAATCCTGGATGTAATGTTTATTAGCGATGCCAAATACAACTGTGAAATCCCTTGAAGCCTGCAAATAGACCCCTATTACACCTATGGTGATGGAACAGTCATGCGGTGGTTATGTTTAAGCTGGATTTGTCAGTGCAGAAAACTGGATAAAAAATACTGATAGTGAACTTGATAACATTCAGTGTTTTTCTTTTTTGGCTCTTTACATTGCATGCCCCCCCATGTATTTTTCAGTTGTACATGCACTGCCTATATCAACAATTTTGTTGTCCAAAGCTAAATCGCAATTTGGTCCTGCTGAGTGGAGATTATAATTATTCAGCGCCAACAGTTTGCGCAGCACTTTACAAAATATGAGGAGACAGCAAAATAACAAATACAATTCCATATAGGAGGAGTAGTGCTCTGCTCGTGCAAGCTTACAGTATACAAGGAGTGACAAGTGATACAACAGGTATAAAAACTGTGAGGCATGAGCTGATTGAAGGAGTAGGCATACAGTTTTTAAGAGGAGGTGGGATAGGCTTTCTTGAAGAGGTGAGTTTTTAGGGATTATCTGAAGGCAGAAAGATTAGGAGATAGCCAAATCGATTGGGCTAGAGCAGTGGTTCTCAACCTGTGTAACCTCAGGACCCACATTTGTCCTTGGTCATTAAGTCGTGACCCAAGTCACACTGCAGTGGAATGCACAGCATTGCAGTACCACACGTTCCAGTGTGGGTGATCTAACTGTGGGCAGGAGGTGCGCATGGGGTGCCATTCAAATGAATGGTAATGCATTTGAATGGCACCAGAATGTGTGGAAGGTGTGATTGCACGGTACAGTGTGTTAATCACACGGGACTGTGCAATTAACACACTGTCAGTGTTTTTGAGGGCCCATTCAAACTAGTACAAAGACACACAACCACAGACACAATCTCACACTCCCAGTCATTCTCTCACACACATACACACTCTGAAAAATATAATAAAATCAAAGATCCAGCCAGTCTCCCTACCTTAGACTGGAGTGGATCCTCAGCCTGAGGTCCAGTGTGGACTGCTGTGCTGTGACGGAGCTTCATCCATATGTCCATTGCTTGTACTGCTCCCTTGCAAACCCTGTAGAGGTGCTCGGGGCCAGAATGTTATGTCACTCAGGTATGCAAGTGAGCTGTAAGCAATGCACACATGAATGGAGCTCCCTCACAGCCATACCCCCAGCCCACCTCAAGTTGACACTCTGCAGCGGGCAGCATATTTTGAATGGCTGCTTAGCACAAGAACTGACAGTGCTGTGCTGCGGGAGGCTGAGGTGCCTCTCACTTAATGCAGTGGAAGGCATGTGGCAACCCACTGAACACAGGTTTGCAACTCACTTTTGGGACGTAACTCAACAGATGTGTACCACAGGGCTATAGAGTTCCAGGGGATGGGAGAGGCTCTGGAGAAGCATGGGAGAAGATGAGAGGGCTAGTGAGC